TGCAGTTTCAAAGTTATCAAATATGAGCTGACATCTTCAAAGTAAACATTCATAAGACTTTGCTCGACTTTTATCTAGCCTAAAGCCCCTTTTGAACCCTATTTTGGCTTCGTCGGTGGGTTTGATGTTGGATTTTTTTAGCTCGTAGCTATTTTCTCATCCGTACATCGCAAGAAGTAACGTTTTCATGCAAAAAAAAGCTCAACAGGAACTCAGCTGCGAAAATTTCGCCACTGTTGGCAGAATATTAAGGCAAAAAAATCCAACATCAAACCCACAGACGAAGCCAAAATAGGGTTCAATGGGAGCTTTAGGCCAGACGGGTTCGATAAAAATCGAGCAAAGTCTTAGGAATGTTTACTTTGAAGATGTCAGCTACATATTTGATAGCTTTGGAAACTGCGGTACAGTTGGAAACTTTTAAAAAACGGTTTTTTCAGAGCAAATATTGCTTTTTTTGGCCAATAGTAAGTTCAAAAAAGCTAAGTTTCGGTTGGAAGGGTTCGGTAAAAGTTGAACAAAACTATATCAATTTGTTACCTAGAAGATGTCAGTTACATATTTAATAGCTTTGGAAACTGCGGGATTGTCGAAAATTTTTTAAAACCAATCTTTTCAGAGCGAATCGCGCTTTTTCAAGCCAAATTAGAGTTCAAAACGAAATTTCGGCCGAATATGTCAACCACGACCAACCCTGGCCGCAAAGTGCCAAGTTGCGCGCGTTCGGAGTGAAATCTCGAGATGACGGGTTTAGAAATTCGAACTTTTTTTTTTTTGCATTGTTCAGAACATACTAGAAGACATATTCCATATGAGTAGTTACGATGCGATTCTATGCCCACGACCAGGGTGACCGAAAAACCGACTTTCCAAACACAAAAATTAGCGTAACTCGAGAATTCCTACAGTAACCCAAGATAGTATGTACTATAAAAGTTAATGAAATCTGATTACTTATCGATTGATATATCACTTGCCTAGTAAAAACTCTTCAATACTTAGATAAGCAGGTGCCCACCTGCGTACCGTAACCCGACTACAGTAAGAGGAAATGGCTCAAAAAGTTGCGACCGCACTTCTGATGATGGGTTATCACACTGGATGAAGTTTCATCAGAATCAAAAAAAATAAAAATTTTTTGAACCTGTTGCTTTTTGAAACTTTTTGAAAAATTACAGAGACAGCGTGTTAGAGCTGAAAAAAATTGAAATAACCTACACGGGCAAGCCTTCACTTTATTTCCTCCTTCTACTTTTCTTTAGAAAAAAATCTATAAAAAAAAGGCGCTATGAGATTTTTTTGAAGGCCTTTTTCCGGAAAAAAAGCAATCAAAAAAACAAAAAAAATTATATTCCATTGGTCTCGGCATTCGCCTAAATCGAAAAAAAGGTGAAGAAAAAAATCATTTTTTTCGCTTGGCCTCAGTTTTTTTCAGGATCCAGGCTTAGCTTGGGCTTAGGGCTTAGGGCTTAGGGCTTAGGCTTTAGGCTTAGGCTTGGAGCTTAGGCTTGCGCTAGGCTTAGGCTGGGCTTAGGGCTTAGGCTTTTGCAGGCTTTAGCTTAGGCTTAGCTTGGGCTTAGGCAGGCTTAAGCTTTAGGGCTTAGGGCTTTGCGAGCTTAGGGCTTGGGCAGGCTTAGCCTAAGCCCAAGCCTAGCCTGCCTGGGCTGAGCCTGCTTGCACAGCTTGCCTAAGCCCAAGCCTAGGCTGCTTCCAGCCTAAGCCTCAAGCCCAAGCGCAGTGCAAGCGCTGCTGCTGCCCTGCCTAAGCCGCTAAGCCTCAAGCCCAAGCTGCAAGCCTCCAAGCCCAAGCCCTAAGCCTAAGCCTGCCTAAGCCTAAGCCTAAGCCCTAAGCCTAAGCCTAAGCCTAAGCCCTAAGCCTCACCAGATCCTGAAAAAAACTGAGGCCAAGCGAAAAAAATGATCTTCACCTTTTTTTCGATTTAGGCGAATGCCGAGACCAATGGAATATAATTTTTTTTTGTTTTTGATTGCTTTTTCCGGAAAAGGCCTTCAAAAAATCTCATGGCGCCTTTTTTATAGATTTTTTCTAAAGAAAAGTAGAAGGAGGAAATAAAGTGAAGGCTTGCCCGTGTAGGTTATTTCAATTTTTTTTCAGCTCTAACACGCTGTCTCTGTAATTTTCAAAAAGTTTCAAAAGCAACAGGTTCAAAAAAAAAATTTTATTTTTTGATTCTGATGAAACTTCATCCAGTGTGATAACCCATCATCAGAAGTGCGGTCGCAACTTTTTGAGCCATTTCCTCTTACTGTAGTCGGGTTACGGTACGCAGGTGGGCACCTGCTTATCTAAGTATTGAAGAGTTTACTAGGCAAGTGATATATCAATCGATAAGTAATATCTAAGTATTGAAGAGTTTTTACTAGGCAAGTGATATATCAATCGATAAGTAATCAGATTTCATTAACTTTTATAGTACATACTATCTTGGGTTACTGTAGGAATTCTCGAGTTACGCTAATTTTTGTGTTTGGAAAGTCGGTTTTTCGGTCACCCTGGTCGTGGGCATAGAATCGCATCGTAACTACTCATATGGAATATGTCTTCTAGTATGTTCTGAACAATGCAAAAAAAAAAAAGTTCGAATTTCTAAACCCGTCATCTCGAGATTTCACTCCGAACGCGCGCAACTTGGCACTTTGCGGCCAGGGTTGGTCGTGTTGATATTGCCGAAATTTCGTTTTTGAACTTTAATTTGCTTGAGATTGCTCTGAAAAGATTGGTTTTGAAAAATTTTTCGACAATCCCGCAGTTTCAAAGCTTTAAATATGTAACTGACATCTTCTAGGTAACAAATTGATATAGTTTTGTTCAACTTTTACCGAACCCTTCCAACCGAAACTTAGCTTTTTGAACTTACATTGGCAGCATATTTGCTTTGAAAAATGTTTTCAACTGTACGCAGTTTCAAAGCTATCAAATATGAGCTGACATCTTCAAAGTAAACATTCCTAAGACTTTGCTCGATTTTTATCGAACCCGTCTGGCCTAAAGCTCCCATTGAACCCTATTTTGGCTTCGTCTGTGGGTTTGATGTTGGATTTTTTTGCCTTAATATTCTGCCAACAGTGGCGAAATTTTCGCAGCTGAGTTCCTGTTGAGCTTTTTTTTGCATGAAAACGTTACTTCTTGCGATGTACGGATGAGAAAATAGCTACGAGCTAAAAAAATCCAACATCAAACCCACCGACGAAGCCAAAATAGGGTTCAAAAGGGGCTTTAGGCTAGATAAAAGTCGAGCAAAGTCTTATGAATGTTTACTTTGAAGATGTCAGCTACATATTTGATAGCTTTGGAAACTGCGGTACAGTTGGAAACTTTTAAAAAACGGTTTTTTCAGAGCAAATATTGCTTTTTTTGGCCAATAGTAAGTTCAAAGCTAAATTTCGGTTGGAAGGGTTCGGTAAAAGTTGAACAAAACTATATCAATTGTTACCTAGAAGATGTCAGTTACATATTTAATAGCTTTGGAAACTGCGGGATTGTCGAAAATTTTTTAAAACCAATCTTTTCAGAGCGAATCGCGCTTTTTCAAGCCAAATAAGAGTTCAAAACGAAATTTCGGCCGAATATGTAGCGTATAGGTCTCTTCAAACCCCTTTGAATGTTACAAAACATACTGTAGTTATAATCTAAAAAAAGTTTTTACACTAATATCTAACAAAAAGAAAAATGTTAAAATCGTCAACCACGACCAACCCTGGCCGCAAAGTGCCAAGTTGCGCGCGTTCGGAGTGAAATCTCGAGATGACGGGTTTAGAAATTGAACTTTTTGGCATTGTTCAGAACATACTAGAAGACATATTCCATATGAGTAGTTACGATGCGATTCTATGCCCACGACCAGGGTGACCGAAAAACCGACTTTCCAAACACAAAAATTACCGTAACTCGAGAATTCCTACAGTAACCCAAGGTAGTATGTACTATAAAAGTTAATGAAATCTGATTACCTATCGATTGATATATCACTTGCCTAGTAAAAACTCTTCAATACTTAGATAAGCAGGTGCCCACCTGCCTACCGTAACCCGACTACAGTAAGAGGAAATGGCTCAAAAAAAGTTGCGACCGCACTTCTGATGATGGGTTATCACACTGGATGAAGTTTCATCAGAATCAAAAAAATAAAAATTTTTTTGTACCCGTTGTTTTTTTGACAGTTACAGAGACAGAGTGCTAAATTTCAATTCGAACCAACCAAAAAAACGTCCACTTTAATACGACTTTTTGCTCGAAATCTGAGAGTAATTAAGTAAAAATTGCGCTTTTTTCTCGATGAAAATGGTTGCGAGTCCTTGTGAATCAACTTTGCGCTTTCAATCGCAGGCGTGACCGTTTTTTGACGCGTGTACCCAAAGAAAAGCGACCTCGATCGAAATATCGCTTCGGAACTTGAGACGAACAATTGATAACGCCGCGACATTGTCCTCTTTCCACCATTTCTCGTCGGCTGCAAAAAAACATTTACTGCATTCAAGTTCTGATCTTGATCAAAGATTTCAAAAAGCTTCTCTTCCTTCCAACTAACGAAGATAGAGTAAAGTTGTAAGAGTTCTTGATAGTTTGCTGAAACTTATTTGGAAAGCAGTTAACATTACACAGTTCGGATGCTTCAGAAGCTCGAAATAACGTTTTATTTTTTTCATAATCTGCGTAGTTTGCTTAATTAGAATCTCCTAATTCGAAAAAAAAAAGCTATTGCAATTTTTTTTTGTTCTGCAATCAGGATGTCTAAAATACGCTTCATCGACGTTTCATCAAAAGTTCAAGCGGGTGAAAAATCTGTCAAAGTTTTCACTTTTTCCGCTCCGCAAAATATTCAAACTCTTGTTGAAAAACTAAACATCGAAACTTTCATTTTTTTTTTCCAGTCATATTTCTTCTTCTTTTCCTTTATTTTTTCGATGGATATCAAGACTTAATTCTTCCTCCTTTTCATGTTTTTTTGAAAATGAGGAGTATTTCAGCTCATAAAAGGAATGACAAGCTCGTACGACTACGCCCTGACCGACTTCGCCTCTTACTTGTTAGTTAATTTGTTACACATTTGTTTAGAGAGAGCTCATCGATAGGATTCCAGAGCGGATGTGGAGCAAAACTTCGGCAAGAAATTCTTAACAGTTATTGAGACTTTCAGTGGTTCAAGGTGGCTTGTTTTTGAGAAAGGGCCACATTTTCGAACGTTTCAGAGTAGATTTGCCTATGAAGCGGTTCGACGAGATCGCGAAAGTTCATGACCGTGCATCTCGTTATTTGAGAAAGTCGATTGATGTAAGAAAAAGCGACAGTCTTAATCTCTGGAAACTGTGCAACGTCTACTCTCTTGTGGCTTTAGAAATGGACAAGGTTCTCAGTAGAAAAAAATATTTTTTTAAAGGCTATGAAAGACACGCGAGATATCCTGCGTAAAAATTGAAAAGGAATCTCCGCCGTCCATTCCTTGTGAGAAGCCCAAATCGGGCGTTAGAAGGTTAGCCATATTCAATTTTTCAGAAATTTTGACTTTTTGACTCTCAAAAAGACCTATTCTAAGTTTAGATTCATAGACGACTACCGACCTTCTCGACGTATTGCTTTGCAAGATTCGAGCAATTTGAAAAAGATGAGAAGCCGGTGACAAAAAGTTCAATATTTTTGTGCGACTCTATTTATTGGGCGTAAGGTTTCAGGATAAAACCGAATTGGATGAAGCGTTTCCTGAAAGACGAACGAAAACAAGAAAAACTGCCTAGGTTGGAGCCCGAAAAGAATATTAGAGCTAGGGTCCGCAAGCTATTTCTTCAGAACAATTCAAAAAAATATGTTTTTTTACATTGTTCGATAGAGGAGACTGTCCATTTTTCCTAATCCGTTTAGTTTTTGAAAAAAGGTTCACTAAGAAAAAAGTTATGGCCAAAAAACTGGCGCGCGCGGCGTACAACTGGAGGCAAAATCTCACGGTTTACCCGCTGCCGCACGCTTTCTTTTTAAATGTTTTTGCGCATTTCTGAACCGTTTTCAAATCGGTTTTTTGTTCTAAAAGGTTGCCCGAACTGAGCTTCATGTTTTGGTATAAATCTTTTGTATAACTCTCATAAGAATTTTTTTGATAAAATATCAAAAAAACTACTTAGAAAAAAAGGTCAGAAGGAATTTTTCAGCTTATTTTTCTTTTTTCTAATCAGAAAAAAATTATTATCTTTCGATTTGGAAAAAAATAAAAAAATGAAAAAAATAATGTTATTTCGAAATAAAACAGGAAAAATGAGCCATTTGACTCCGAAAAACGGCTCCTGCAACATTTAAAATGGCACATCGGTGTGTTTGACGCAAACACAGCTACGAACGCTTGCACGAATTCTCCCAAAATTTCAAAAAAAATTGCCATTTTTTCGAGGTTTTGAAAGCCGTTATTTTTTTCGCGTCGTTAGATTTTTTTCATAATTTTTCCATTGATAGAGTTTTGAACGCTTAATAACATAAGCAAAAGTATAGACGCGATCCTATTCTCTCATGCGTCAACGAGGCAGACGAAAAATGGAGGTTTTGGTAAAATTCAAATATAATTTGATTCGCTGTCCCAATAATTATTTCCATTCTGAATTTTTTTATTTTTTGAACACATTGTGAGTTTTTTTAAATCAAATGAAAAGTATACCTTGTCGCTGAAATTTTTTTCGCATTTCAGCTTCAAAGTTTGGTGTCACTTTACAAGCTTCGATTTTTTTCGCGTCGTTAGATTTTTTTAAAAATTTTTTTACTCAAAAAAATAAAGAAAGTGTTAATAAGTAAGATACTCAAAATTTGGAAGCGATCCTCACTTGGTTTTCTGAAACGCGACGATTTTTGTGAAACTTGTCAGTTTTTTTCGAGTTAAATCTTACTTTTTTTCGCTTATTTTTTTGAAAAAAATACATAGTTTAAAAAAATATTCAGTCTTGTAGAGCGTTGTCGATTACATAGATTAACAGAAACAGTTTATTTTTTTAAAGTGGAACTTTAGCTAGTATAAACGCCTCAAAAACCGTTTCTGCAACAAAAAAATCGTCATTTTTGGTGGCGTGAAGGGGCGGGGCTTTGCGCCCCCTAATTAGAGCGAAGCGGCAAAAAGTCAAGGCTCCATTTCTAATTGTGTAGGTTTCAGAAATCCAGCAACTACAAGAGATTCGAACGAGGCAATGGCAGAAGCGCAATCATTGCCGTCTGAAGCGATTAACCTTCCCGTGAGATTTTATTTCCAAAAAATAGGGCCGCAGAGAGATATTTTAAAATCAGAACGAAATCTGATCATTTTCAAATTTTGAAATTATTTTGAAACGTCATGTTTGAAATTGAAAAATTCAAAACCGAATCTGGCACAGTCGACCAAATCAGAAGAAATCAAGCAGAAGGTTAGTTTTTTTGTTATTATTCGAGTGGTATACAAAAAGAAGTGCCGCTAAAGTGAGAGTAGGGCAGCAATCAGAACTTTTCAAGTTAAAGAAAAACAGTAGAAAATCTAACCACATTTCAATTTATTTAACATCTCCATGGAATCGATTTGTTCACAGGAGAGGTCATTCTACTTTGCGGTTGGGAATTACTTGAAAATTGGCCAGAGAACTTCTTGATATACCAGCTGAAGATCCTGAAAGTCTAAAAACATGCACAACTCCCCTAGTTTTCGAAAAATAAAGGCTCAAACCCTCAAAAATAGCCTATTTTTTTGGTGGTATAAAAACCAGCAAAATTTCAAACGGCGACTTTTTCTGATTTTTTTCATATCGCTAAGGAACTTTCCGACGGCCACCTTCCTGACGAATCCTTTTTCCGACATTTTTCTTGATAAACTCTTCGTTTTGAATCTTCCAATATAAACAAGGTAGTTTATGCATGATAACACGAAGAAATAGGAAAAAAAGGTTAATAGATGTTTTACAAAACCGAAAAGTACAAGGGAAAAAAAGTCGAAAAGCGATTCGTCGGAAAGTTCCCTAGCGATATGAAAAATCGGAAAAAGTCGCCGTTTGAATTTTCGCTGATCTCATACTACCCTATTTTTATGGATTTTAGGGGTTTTTGACTTTGAGCTGTCGTTTCTCAAAAACGAGGGAGTTGTGCAGGTTGAAACTCCCAGAATCTTTTTATGGTACATCAAAAAGCGTTCTGGTCAGTTTCCAGAAAAATCTCAACAGCAAAGTAAAACGACCTTCCTTGTCATAAAAGCGCCGTTTTCCCGGTTTTTCTGTGATGAAGATCTTCGGAACCGAAACCTTTTAGAGTTGGACGAGCTATAAAGAAGAGGCGACGGTGAGTCAAACGGAAAGTTTGTCTGCCATGCGGCCTCCGAGGCCGCCTCGTCCTTCAGCTCCTCTTTTTGTGACTTCTGGCTATTTGAGCAACAACCAGACGCCTAGAAACAACCCAGAGACGACTCTCATCAGTTGGGGTGAGAGCTTTTCGCTAAAAATATGTAAAAATGTCAATGTCGCCAAAAAATCAAACTATTCGTCAATCAAATTTCGATTAATGCCAACCCACAAGTTGACAAAACCGACCTACATTTCAAAATGAATACTTTCATTGTCTTTTATCGCTTTTTTTGTTTAATTTCTCTACTTTTTGAAGAAGATGATCAACCAACGCCGGCCGCAAGTCAACGAAACGCTAAAGTCCAGCAGAAAACGACAGCTCACGGATTTTCGCCTGAATTCAGCTCGAAACCAAGTTTTACTAGGGCAGGTCTGTTCGACTTACAAACGACTGCTAATTTATATATATATATATATACATATATTCCATGCCTCTAAAAAAATAAATATATAACGGATTATTCGCAGCAGACACCGTCTCTGAATCTGTCATAATTGAAAATCACATCTAGAAGATGAGAAATACTGGAAAATTCTGAATTTTTTAGTCTTTGAAAAACATATACCTTGATATGTTAGGTAGGTCTCGAAAAATCTAGAAAATTTTAGATGTATATTCGCGAAAAAATGGCTTTTTTGCAGATGGCGAAAAAACTCCGGATGCAGGAGCAAGTTTTTCCTTTTTCAGCTGACAAAAAGCGGCAGCAACCGCACAAGAAAAAGCGACAAAACTCGGTATCTTTTTGAGAAAGTTTGTTCAAAGTGTACTTCATCTTTGGTTCATACGAGCGAAAGTCATGTCGGAGGTCCACCGACATGAGTTTTTCTACCAAAAAGCTTTTTTTGTCTTTTTAGATGCAGTCCTTGATATCCAATCGAGTGGTTTTTAATTCAACATCCATCATAGTTTTAACTTGATTTTTCGATTTTTAAGTATATCTTCAATGATTATTTTTTTGTGAAAAAAAGGGATCGAGACACAAGTAGAGAATGTAACGATGATTTAAGGATGAAGTGCCGCCAACCCTGATTTCGATCGACTGCACTCCACCAGTTCCAACCATGCGATCATACTTTTCCAAAGTGAGCTGAATTTTGATTTGTTTATTTATATCACTCAAACACATTTCTGTCTCAAATGTGAAAACCCAATGAAACCTAACTGATTATGCAGATTGAACCGCTGCAAGCCAAAAGCAGGGTTGGAATAGTACTAGAAGACGTAGATCCGAGGAGACGTGCGACGTCCCAGAAGATGAACGGCTCAATGACCTCAACGACGACGACGACATCAACGGCTTCGCAGAACCAAGAATACATCGTCGTCAACAATGTCACAAACTTCGCAGTCGAACCGGATAGGTTGGAAACCAAGCAATTTGTTTTCGAGTTTGAAAAATTTTATTTAATTCAAGCCAAATAGTTTGAATTTACTCAAGTGTTCAATTTTCAGAGCAACCTATGCGCCACCATCTTTGGGACCATAAGCATGACTGAATTTTGAAGCATTAAAGCGAAAAATAATACCAAAAAAATTTAATTCTTCTATCAATTTATACATTTCTACAGGTAATAAATATCACATCAAGGTGCCAGAGCGTTTAGAAATATTGACAATAAAAAGAAGATATTTGACACAGAAAACCAATCAATTTTTCTCATTTCCATCGAAATGAGCAAAAGCGAACCGGATAGAAAACTCAAGGCCACAAAAAAAGGGCAAAAACGGAGCATTTCAAGAGCTAAAAACCATCTAGTCAAACATACTGCATAAGATGGACTGAAGGCTTTTCCAACAAAAGTGGAACAAGCGTGGTTAACCTCAGCGATGGAGCCGCAGAAAAAGTTGTTCCATTTTTGTCTCGACCTGAATGTTTTAAAGTAGTTAATGAATAGGAAAAATAGTTGATAGCCTCGTTTGAACTTCATTGATTTCAATCATTATTTCTTTTTCTTTATTGATGTAAATTTCGAACATTCCTTACATTAGTCAGAGACTCGACCGCGGGAACAGAGGCGACTCGAACGGTTGGCTGTTCGTTTTCCAGAGGCAACTCTCGCAAAGACTCTAGTACCCTCTGAAAAGATTCTTTAAAGTATGATAATTAGCCACCCACTATTGATCAAATGCATCCGTCGTAAGTCACCTTCGAAGTTTTTGACGAGAAGAGTACTTCGAAGACGGTTGTCAGTTGGTTTATGACCTAAAATACTTCTTTTTTCTTCGACTTCACATTTTTGGACATTAAATATGTCTGACTGCACGAAAGATAGCTTTCCTCCTGATTTCACACTCTGTTAAGCTAAGAACTCTGTTTTTCCGTCCTTAATCGTATAGTTCCATGTACAACACTTACACGCAAAGTCATTTTACTTTGCGCATTGGAAATTCCTACAAATAATCTCTGAATGTTCATAGTATGATCCATCAAAGTTGCAACCCACAACAGCTTCTAGTTTCCAAGATAATTAATTCTGAAGGTCGAAAATTTAAGCCTAAAACCGATTTTTCGCAATTTTGCAAAATCATATCACAAAAACTAGAAGTTTGAGCAATTAGCAACTAAGTGGGATTTTCATCTAGACTTTCGGAGTGTTTGAGCAAATTTGTAAAAATTTTCGAACTGCCAAGTGAAATGACCTCCCTTTTTAAAACAACCGCCGAGATGTTTGCGAGCTCGCCAATTTGGCGCCACCGACATAGCATTTCACCGCCCCAGACTCGGCAGTTAACTTTAGTGCAAAAGCGCAAAGACTGTCGTAAGAAACGAGATTCGCCTAGAAAAATATTCCATCCTTATAGAAAAGCAGTGCTGCTGACGGGGCGCACGGCACCGCTGAGTAGATAAGTTAAAATGAAGTTTTAATGAAAATCCGCCGACTAACGACTAATAAAGAAATATATTGGTCAAATAAAGTAAAAATCATTTATATCATTGAGTAACTGTGAAGAAATCTTCTAACAGCGTGACTGCTTTCATGAGGCGGGGCGGGGCGCCCCTGGTCTGGTCAGCAGCCTGCAAATCAGGCTGTACGGAAGAGAAATTTCCGAAAAGAAAAGCGAAGGAAATACTGGCCATGAACATTTTTCACTGAAGACAGAGTCACAGTGTTGGCGAATAAAACAGTTTCTGCGGCCTTATATTTCGATGATATATTTTTCCCTGTCGCCTGAATTTCTGTATAGGTGCATCTTGAGTCTATAATTTTTACCAGTAAAGAAGTTTGAACGCCAGAAAAGTATACCATATTTTGTCCTAGATTGAGATAAATGTAGTGTCGCAAGATAGGCCCCTCGGCTCGTTTCTATTTTAGTTTTCTTTTCATTTCTTATTTGTCAATTAGCATTTTGTGGGTAGTACAAAAATAAAAGAGCAAGATGAGAGAACGCGTTGCAACCTGAAAGCGACTCCAAAAACAAAGCATTGAACCCTCAAAAACATCGTTAACAGGCCAGTTTTGTCCTGTGTTCAAGCCTAAGCTGGATTTCTTCAGGGTGACGGGTAGGCTAAAATTGAAACTTATAGATTTTGAAGTAAACTTGGTGGATGCAGGAACCACGTGAAAGACCAATAGGAAACGATGATAGTACACCCAAAAGTAGCGATGGATTTTCAAAAAGCACCGCGAACATACCGCATCTCAAAATGTCCTCAAGAAAACTTTCTACTTCCAAGATGGTATCTCTTCCTCAAAAATTGCTTTGCATCTATCGATTGCGTACTACTACTGCCTCAGAGAAAACTCGTCGTCCACTAGATACGCAGGTGACCACCTGCCTCACGCCTACCGTAACCCGGGTTACAGTTGGAGTGAAAATGGCTCAAAAAGTCCGTAATCCTGACGTCACATGATGATAACACTGGTTGAAATTTCATTGAGATCATACTCTGCACCCGCTGTTTTTGAGAAAATTTCGAGAATTACAGAGAGTTAGCATCGTCATGTTTTAAAAATCTTTTCGGCAAACCGCGTTCCTCCTCCCTAAAATTTTTCTGTTCCTCGACCTCGTAAAGTTCCGTCTTCCTTCAAAATTGCTTTTATTCCTCATACACCGTGTTCCTTCTCGAAAGTTTCCACTTCCTGCGCATCCCCTGTAAACTCACGACATCGGCATTGATCTATCAATTATGTTTGAAGTAAGAGTTGAAGACAAAACTTCATTAAGGAAGATGGAAATCGGGTTAAGAAAAAGAAAAAGACGGGTAACGGAATGCTGCATAACCTCCTGGCACTAAAATAATTCATTATTTTTGTTATTTGTACATCACATAAAAGATAATCCGCCATGAGTCCGGCGCGAGATAATAAACAGGCTGGTGGTACATCGACAACCCCGCGAATATCACTTTGTCGCCGCGGCCGACGCGCATCTTGGCGCGATCTCGTATTTGGAAATGAAAAACTCTAAAATCCAAGGCCGGCGCGGCTGGAAAACTGCACTTTAGGTCGTCAATGTACAGCCAGCGACTTATCTCGGCTGCCAGTGATGCCGAAACACTCTTTCTAATAACTACAAGCTAACCTCGAGGAGGAGATTGACATGAGTCCAGACGAAGGAAAATTTACCAGTGCTGTAGGTCGACTCTTCGTAGCCAACGTTCTCACTGCGCTGAATCGCCGATTACGACCTTTGGAAACGATTCCTTGTCAACTCCAACCGTCTCCCTCGCATTATAGCGTCGTCAATGGAGAGACTGCGGCACGAACATCATCAAGCTTCAATGGTCTGCTCCTTTTGTTAGAAGAAACGCGAGAACCGCTTCACCAAGTGCTTGAAATTCGGATCTATTCTGATCCTAAAATATCAGTTTACCAATAGAGGAATGATAGTAATTGGCTTGAATTTCCGCTACTGCTGTGGGATCCGAATCAAATTCAGCTGCTTCCAAACTCTGTAAGTTTGTTAAAAGTGTAATTGCAAAATGAGAATTCCCGAAATAAACATTTTAGCAAAATTAAAAGATCTTACTTTGAAGTGAGTTAAAGTTCACTAAGCGGCAGTAAAATATCTCATTTGGCACAAATCGCGAGGTCCTGACCACCAAAATTTGACTTCGACGCTATTGGCTTCTTTCCATGATTTCTAAGTTTTTATGTTGTCTAAATTCTCTATGGTCTCGAATCCAGCGTTGTTATTTAACTTTATTTTGCGATTACCTTCTACTTGTTCATTTTGACAGTGCGAATGAGCGACTCGGTCAATCCTTTGCACCCGTCTCTCTCGAAGCCAGGACATTTTTAAACTCCTGTTCTTGACTCGTATGAAACCTATTTCTCAAGTCTGCACAAAATAACTTTTGTCTCAAATTTTACATCAAATCAAAACAGCTCAGCCGCTTTCAGTTTATAATTCGTACAAAACTTATAAAACTGTCGTAATAAGACCACTCCGCCTTTAAAGAGACCAGGGTTAAACGACTCGCAGCACGAGAAGTGTCTTTTGCGACCGAAACGAGATCGACTGTGCGAAATACCTTGAAACTATCAACATAGGAAACATTTTCGTAAAATCAGTTGAGTATATAGGATTAAAACAAGAGAGATAAAATTTTGAAACTCAACACCATTAGTTCTAAAAAGCGAAACTTCAAACTTCAGACTTGTTTTCGACTGTTTTTCGACATTTTTGACTCATAGTTCATCCGTCGAATTTCGATTTCACTTTCTGCGTCTGCGCAATGGGACAACTGGCATTTTACGCCAAACCTCCAGTCTTTTGCTCCTATTATTCAAAAATTCTCAAAAATGTTCGAGACCAGAAAATAGAGAGGATATCGAGTCTCGTGCAACTCTGGAAACAGGCACGAGCCACGAAATTGCATTTACGGTGATATCTTTGACTGGAATGTGGATCAGTTCTTCTGACATCGTCCTACTCTCGAGCAAAAGTCGAACAGATGGTATAATGACTGCTAGAAGAGAAAGGCTCAAAAAGGCCACAGAAAGACAGGTGCAGGAGTTCTGCCACCTTAAGAGATTTTTCGAAAGAACACTCTCTAAGGAAACATTTCTTTGCCCTCTTTCCTGACTTTGCCTGTGCATGTATTTGCCATTGACATTGACAAAGATGATACCGCTTCTCGCTCATATCGCAGCGAAGTGGAAGCTGGCAAGGTTAGAGTACTGCAACGAGTTGTATAAGTGTTCGAGCCTGCAGTAATCAATTGCAAACGTTTCTGAAATAAGACACAATCACTTGGGCCTTTCATGTAGAGCACGATATGATTGGCGGCGCATGCTGCAGCCAAGCGTAGCCAAGGTCAGCAGTCTCGCACTGCAAGAGAAAAATGTACTGGGAAACAGCGCTGATTAGCGTTGCTTTCTCATCTTTCACGGTGAAATTCGTGATTGAAAGATTTTTCCGAAAGAAATTTTTCTAGTTTGACTCAGCTAATTTTAATTCTGAAGTAAAAGTCATTTATCTCACAAAACACTGTAGGAAATCGATATCCTATATTCTCATAATTTTTCAAAAATTATAAAACTTAGAATTTATTAACTTTTTAAACAAATTTGCGTTTTGAAGCAATTGTTGTTTGCTCGATCACTCAAACACGAAAGCGCATATTCTCGAAAAATAATTAATTTTCGTCAAGATCAACTCCAACTGTTTGAAAAATATATAGATAAGAAATCACCTCGGTCAAAAGACAACACCGTTGTAGAGAACGGCTTGCTAGTCTTGAACTCGTAGAGCCCAGCCCGAGCAAGTCTTTGAACGAGCTGGAAACTTTGATTATTAGGTTAAAGATACGTGGAAAATTGAGAGAGGCAAGCCGCAAAATGGACTCTTTTAAAAATCGCCTTTTATCCTTTTTGCATTTGCGCTTGCGTCAAAGACTCAAAGTCTGATATCGTTGCGAAACCGAAAAGCCGTATTAGGAGGTTCCAAGTGCTCTAAAATTAGGGCGCAATCAAAAACTCATTATTCAGACACCTAAAAATCTCACGGGACATTGCAGACGCTCAGCATTGACACGTTGATGAACCGATAAATCTGGATCTTTCGGCCGACAGTCGAGGGCATACCTGAGCATGAAAATAAAGCCCAAAGCCTCGAGAAAGTTCTGGACAGCAACCGCAAGGCTCTGTGAAGAGGCGAGCGGTGCCTGGCAGACGTTCGTAGTTCCCGAACCAGTCGCCGACAAACTTAAGTTACTTTTAGGGAGAGTGATAACCTAGAAAAGACAGTTGAACAACCAATGATGTTTCATGGATAAAGAACGTCATTTTCTTTTTGTTCGGCTTTACCTTTGATAAGTCGTCCATTATACTCGTTCTCGCAATCCTTCAAATCGCAATCAAATGGGTAACCTCTCCTGAAAAGACCAGATTATAAATGAACAGATAGTCGAAGTTAATGTAAAAAGACGTGTCTGAAACATGAAAAGCATCTTTCGAAGCCGTCTTCCTTTGAAAACCTAGGCGACTCAGCATGAAACAATAAACGCTTCTGTCGAATCTTCTCTCGAAGTTCCGGCTGGACCATATTTACGAACGCTCCGGTGAATAATATTCAACGATTTTGCTCTACATTTCATTTCAGTAATTTTTTCTTTAATTTTAATACCGAGTAACACTTTTTTTTTTTACTGATTTTTAGTTTAATTTCGTAGTCGAATACTTAAACAATCTGAATAGTTAAGTTCCAAAGCTTTGGTTCATACAGATTGGCTATCTCAGTTATCTGGAAACGGATACAGCCAATTCAAGTCTCAGCTTTGGGACGCAAAGAAGCGTGGCCTTACCCCTCTAAACAGACAAACCCTCACTTTGATCTTATGTTTGACGCTGAATTCAACTCTTTCATTTCGGCGTCTCCTTTTATCTTAGACCTTTCAATTTGAGACAATTATATTACTTTGACCACTCTGCTGAAATAATTTTTGATGGCTCACAGCAGATTTTCGACGATTTCCTTTGCCGCACTGGGTCCAGAGCCCTCGCGGCCTGTCTGTACTGGTCAAAGAGCCGACTATCGCAGTGACCTCCGTCCAGGCTCGTCAGTCTTCGATTCGCATCGAACTTCAGCTGCATGCTGCGGCATCTCAGGGTCGCTGACCGAATCTCAGCGACCGCAAAACGTCCGACTCGAATCCTGCTGGCCTTTTAAATGAAAGTCAAAACAAGTTCAGAACCAAAATAAGAAAATAGTTTTCTAAAACTTAACACAATATCAGATTGTTCTCTTTATAAAGCCTCAATACAGAACGAGAAGAAAGAGAATACTTGAATTCATCAGGATCTGATCCTCCGCCTCAAAGAGCGCTGCTAGCAGACCAGATATGTGAAATATACTTAGGTATTGACTCTGCTCAAACAAAATTTTTGTTCCTTTCGTTTATTCACACACAAATTTCCTCTTCTTACAGCGATTATGCCTCAACAATTGTCGTTTGACTGGAAAAATATCCTCAATCTCTGCTCTGCATAAAAGACCTGAAAGCAAAATTTGCAGATTCAAAGCGAACCTGAAAGGAACTCCTCGGCATCGTTCCCCATAGCAGATTAGAACTTAATTTCTCTTTCAGTCGAATTTATGGTACCTTGCCATTGAAAATCATACTGTTCAGTGCGAAAAAGACAAAACTCAAGCGTCTCGAAGCCTCGTCTAAATCGTCGCCCATCATCATCTTCCCTCTCGTGCTCAGGCAGGTGAGACTTTTCCCTCGTAGAGGCCGATTTCATGACCTTAAAATTATCTGATTATTGAAAGTGGGTAATAGGGAAAACAGCAAAGATTTCATCAAACCTTTACAGATCGTAGATCTTCAGCCTTTGCTTGCTGTTTGGACACTTCCATTTCTCGTAAGTCGTCGTCCCTTGCGATTTCGCGTGATATCTCGCCAAAAACAGCGTTTTTAAGAGCATCGAGACAATAATCGGAAGATCCAAGCACCAAATTGTTCTAATTTTCTTTGGCGACAAAATTTTGTTCGGCGAGTAATCGGCTACTTTTTGAAAAAGTCATACTTTGATATTTCGCGCTATATGTGCTTTTTCATCGACAAACCTCGGAGATCGTCTGGGAAGAAGCGAAAAAGCTTCTTCTGGCGTCATCGAATCTGCAAGCGCAATTTTCAAAAATGTGCAACACTTCATTTGAAACGAAGAAAAGCCACGGTCCTGCTTAAAGAGAATAAAGAAAAGAAAGAAAATATGCCTCTTTTCCATGATCCAAGTCGACCAGCAGTGCGACGTAGACGAGTGAACATAGGCCATGAGCTGCCTGGCCGTTCCATTTCTCCGAATCCGTCTTTTCCACCTCAAAAATCAAAATCAAACTCTAAGGCATAGGGGCAGTAAAAATGGGGTTTCTGGGTTGTTTGCTCGGTGAAAAGCCGTATCTTATATAGTTTTTCTTGGGAATCGAACTGTGCACTCATTACAGATGTGAGAACTTTTAGTGGCGTGTCCATCGCAGATCAGGGAAAATTGTTCCGAAACGCAAAAATTGCTCTAAATGCTCCTGTGCCTTTGAGCGAAAACTACCAGGATCTTCGAGGCACTCTTTATTCGAAAAGAGCTTTTCATGACAAATAGCTTTTGGTCTTGACACTTTCACAAACGCCAAAAATTTTTCTTAATTGCAAAGCCCTAAATTTTCTAGCTGAAAGTCTACATGAGACAAAAGAGACCTGCTCCTCAAGAGACTTTGGCTCGACGTTTTTGTCAGTGAGTTGGCCCTTCAGAGGTCGCTCTTCTGACTTTTGGCCTTCCTTCCTCGTTTCATTGCCGTCTCGTCAGCTGACAACCAAAATAAGAGAAAGATCCCCGACTGAGCGCACCTCTGATAAAATGACCAATAATGGCTAATATCCATTCTCCGGAGTGGACAACAGCCGCATGAAGACGGGTATTCGTCATTTTGCAACGCAGGAATCTTCAAAAGGTTCAAGGTTCTCTGTTGCTGATATTTTTGGAAAAACTTTCAGAAATATATGCCTAAGGATACTTTCTGTGGAAAGGGTCAGAATATTTCTGAATACAGAACATTTTTGCGCTAAATAATATTTCTGGGGTCTCAAGAATTTTTGACTTTCTAGCATCGTTTCTCGCTAGAGTAAAATATTACGAGGATTTTCTCAGTACCTGAGTTTTGAACAGTTTTATGGTCATATTACAGAAATGTCCTGACAGAATAGTGAGATCATTTACTTCGATGATCTCTTTTATAATGGCATCTTTTGATGCGTTTTTAGAAACTATTTTTCGCTTTCTATTACTTGTTTCTTTCTAGAATGATGTCTCATAAGCATTAGTTTTAGTTTCACAACTGAACCTCGAAAAAGAACAAACGTCGTACCTCTCTGGATTTCGCGCGCAGTTCCCTCTTGAAGCTTGAGCTTAAGCTCTGAAACAGTTATAGGCTGAGCTCGAAACTGAGTTGATGAGAAGAAAAACCATTTTTCAATTGATATCAGCTCTTTGACGCGCCCTCTCCGGCAACACGCTGTCAATCACATCAGGAAGCGTTGCGCTGGAAATTTCTGCCAGCGCCCTCAGAGAAATCGCAGTATAGGGAAGAGGATTGTTGACGAAGACGTTCCCAAGGAGACTCCGAAATTGGTTTTGCCTGTGGGAACTTCTAAAATATATCTTTGGGGTGCAAGCAGACAAAACCGTCTCGATTACACCACGTTTAAAAAGGCCTCTGCCTATCCGAACATTTAATAAAATCCTGAGGAGAAGGTCGAGTCAACAAACCGCCTACATGATCAGTTTTCTGTTCATTATTTGCAGCTTTCAAAAATATTACAGATATTTTTCTAAAGGAAGAAATACTGATTGAGCGATTCTACGAAAGTCTCTAAATAAAGAAAGCGTGAGCAAAAGAAATCATTTTTATTGGCCACATGACAAAGTCGGAATGGTGGGTAATGGCCGCTCAAAAGAGAGAGGCTGGAAAGAAGGCCGCAGAGAGGCAGCAAAGAGAGTCCCTTTATCGAGCCTTTCATTTTTCTGGGATTTCAAAGGCTCAAGAAATGGTGCAAAAAGGGAGAGGCAGCAAAAATGGTCCATAATAGCCGATGAAATGACGCAAAAGGCAGGCAAAAGGGAACCTTTCGATATCCTAAAAAGAACATTTCTATGGAGCCTTTTTCCACCTCTTTCCGACTTTGCCTATGAATATGAAACCTTTTGGAGCTCACACTCAGAAAAGTTGAAAGACATTTCATAACTCTAAACCCATAAAAATAAGTAAGTTATTTTCAAAACAGAAAAACCATTCCTGATTGCAACAAAATAAAACACTGAAAAGTCGCAATGGTTTTAAAAGATTCCTCACGTCGTCGCTACATGTTCATGATTTCGACGCCAAAACGACTCCGGCCAACTGCGAGCCAGTGCCATTTCCTGTCTGAAAACTTTTTGCAATCTGCAAAATATTAAACTGCACTCGAGAAAGTTCTGAAAAAGAACTTCGGAGCTCGCGCAGGTCTCGCCACCTCGCGACGCAACGTCAGTATTTTCTCCCGCAGCACGCCAGACCGCTTTCGCAGGCATTCCCGCAAACTGACATTTTTCGCTAATAATCACGAGTGGTTTATTGAGATTCTTCGAGGCCGAATTGGGGAAAAATGATAAGATTCCTCCTATATATCTGTCCAAGTACAGAGACTCTGGGGAAAGCAAAAGCGGTTATGAAGTTTTTCCGAGCGGCTCGCCGCATTGTACTGGAAGCGAGAGAGCGTCATGAAAACCACGGTCTGGCAGTCGTACTCAATTTCAAACAAAGAGCTTCAGAATCTGGTTCTCAAGATACTTTTTACCACGCGATCCGATGAATCAAAAACGACGGCTTTCAAGTGCGTCGTGAAGCCATTTCCATAGGTTACCTGGAAAATGAAAATTGAAAGGATCAAAATTCATCCGGAAACCACTTAAACGGAATTGCGGAAGGTCGAGGTATTAGAACTCGATGAACTGTTGGTATAGTGCTTTCGGACATCTATGGAACTCGAAAGAAATTGAGTGCGCCTTTTTGGTCTTTAGTCTAGTTATGGCGGCCTCAAAGTTTGCGATGATGCGTTGAATAGTTAGCTTGCACGTGCGGCGACTAACTCCAGGCGGCAGTGGTGCAGTGGCTAGAGGCCTTGCGCTGTAAAAACCTATGATGCAGGTTTGAATCCTTTTTGTGAAATTTATTTTTGCCAACTAGGATAACGATGTGAAAGAAAATCTTGCTCAAAACGAACAAACACAGCTGAAGTACCATTTTAAGTCGTTTTAAGCAAGATTTTCGGACATTTTATGTTTCATCTTTCCTCAGTGTGCGTCTCTTGAAAATATTTTAATTCAATTAAAAGTTTAAAATTGATGCAATACTCTTTCCTTATTTCCTGACAAAATTCGTTGATTTCATCGGTATAGTGAAAAGTCCATTGTGCTTGATCGAAAGAAGAAAAATGTCGAGAATCCTTGCTTAAAGCGACATAGAATTATCTATCACAACATACTTTTGCGGTCTTTTATATCCTAAACTCCATCATCCAAGGATGACAAAAATCCTTTTGATCCAATGCACCTTGTGCGTGTGCAAACTTTGAAAGAGGCGCCATAGCTCGACTTTGAATCAAAATGGCGCACTTTTTCTCTACTCTTAGGAATCAGAATGTCCGAAGTGACGCATATACCAAGTTTCCATCGAATTCCACTACTTCGACTTTTTCGCACTTCTTCCGTATTAGATACAGTCCATCATTATTGAAAAACCGAACAGTTCTTGAAACACATTTCTATCATTTCTCAGATCGGAAATGAAGCACGATTATTGCTTTTCGCTTAGAATCTAAGATTTCTCCAATGATTTAACTGCTGGTTTTGGAGTCAACAAACGACTTCTACGTAAATTTTATCTCATCGTGTCAAGAGAATCTTTGATGAGCCTCAATCGAGCTTTGGCTAATCGGATGCCTTGTTTCTTCTCTTGATGAGTCAAACCAAAATAATATTTTGGGCATTCAGTATTTTTCTGTAAACTACATCAGAAAATTCACGTCAAACTCGTAGTTGAAGGTGAAACTTGAAAAATAGCTATCTCTATCTGAAACAGTTTTAACACGCGAGCAAACTCATATATATATAAACTGATTTAATCTCACCATCAAAGGGATGCACTCATGGGCCGGTTTCTGTTTGATGAAAAGAGTGTTCGCCTCCTTAAAAATATAAAGATTTTCCTAGTTTCGAGGAGAAAACCAACCACCAGAACGCTCCTCGACGCATTGAGCTTCCCGCTCAAAACGGCCTCAAGCCCAACCGCATGCACGCTCTACCTTAGTAGCTCTTTCCTCGTCGAGACTGCAGGAGGAGCCCGCTTCAAGACACAAAAAGTTTCACGTAATCTTCGAAAAACGCACCTTGAGGCGCTGTCGATGTTCCCCGCGTTCTTTGAGACGCTGATCCGGCTTCCTGAAAAGACAATTTTAAAGACGCACTTCTCATTCTTTTTCTCTCTTATTATTCATGATTAAGACTTTCGAATGACTTCCTTAACTGGAGAACTTACAAGCGAATCTTTCTTAAAGATACTTTAACTTCTCTTTATTTAAAACCGAACCATCGCTAACCGAAAACAAGTGTATGATGCAAATGATTACTATAACTCTGGAAATATTAGCGACTCTCATATTTCTCACAATCTTAAAAGAGAAATTTGAAACGTCTTGACCGTGAGAGAGACATAATTCGAAAAATAGACCTCTTTTGTTAGAAGCTGCTGAGAGACGTCGTCGTCTATAAATTTCATCAAGATAAAATTAAAAGTAAAATATTGTTGAAGGGAAGAATAAAACTCGGAATTAGAGAAACTATTTGGTCGATGAGCTATTAAAATGTAAGGAACTGGGAAATGGATAGAAAACATAGTATTTCTAAGCATGATAATTTCAGATCTAAATCCTGAGAAATGGTTTGAAATAACATTAAATAACTTAACACTTGATCCAAACTAAAATATGAATGAGTAAAGATAAAATAGCTGGCAACTTTAAAACATATCATTTCCTTCTCCAAATATTAGTTGTTTCCTAACTTTATTGAACTGATTATCTAATGTTGCTAGATTTTGTTCTGATCCCCTCGTGAGGAAAGATTATGGTCGGCATTTATACCACGTATATTTTCAGCTCACTCGATGTGTCCTTTTTCAGAAAAGCAGAAAATGTCCAGGAGGTTTCAGAGAGTAGGCAGAAGGTCGTCGGAAGGCAGCTTAGTGGGACTGCGACAGATCACCACAATTTTGAGCCCGCCGTCGTTGTTGTTATCTAACAGGTTCTCGTCTTGCTGCTAAGCTCTCGGCTCAATTTCAGAAGGCGGCAGAATGAATATTTGCGCCTTTGCCGGGAGTCCGGCGTATGGAGGGCGGAGGAATGTCGGCGCCGAATGGCAGCTCCGATGAGCTGACGGCTGGGAAACTGATCTGTAGAAGCTTAGTTGAAAAGGTGAGTAGGAAGGTCCTTACTGGAATCCAGTCGTCTGAAGCCGTCGGCGAGATTCTGATGGACTCTGGCCGCAGCCTGTCCTCCAGAGCCTTCTGCATGGCGCTGCTCGATCCAGTCAAAGAGTCGGATGAAGCTCTCAGCGACGTCCTTCAGAAGTTTTGATTAATATTCGAAAGAGTCATGTTACCTGTTGCTGGCCGACTCGAACGCGTTCAGTTGAGCACTCTTTTCCCAGAGCCTCGATCACCACCAATACCGACGAAGCTTCAATGTATTGGCATCTTTGAAAACTCCATCTCGGCGAAGAGTCGTCGCAATTGTACCAATAGGTCGCGACTCAGCACACTCTCCTGTAAAAACTGAGAAATATGCTGCTTTCTTTCCCCTATTCCGACTTTTTCATGTTGATTATGTTTCTGATGCAGTTTATAAATAGAAACACTCCCACTCTTCTATAATGCTCTCCTGCAAAATTTTCACCGCAGCCTGAAAATTCTCTAGGACAAAACTTCTCCCAGAGAAGCAACTCACAATCAAGCTTTTCACTCATTAATCATCTCGACATAGAAACTCACTCGGTGCTATTTCGTCAATCGTTCTTGACGAATCTTGTGAAATAACTCATAGGAACCACTGCATAAAACGAGAGTATCGAAACCGTGGGATCTGAAAGAGGATCTGCAAATTTTTGTGTTTTCAAACAAGATTCATTAGGACGAGATGATCTAAGGTTCCAAATACAATCGTAAAGATCGAGAGATTATTTCTCAGAAACTCTGAGTCAAACGCAGCGTTGAACCAGCACGTATTCCCAGCGTTATAGCGACCCGTCAAAAAGATTCGAATGCTGACGGCTACAGGCCAGATAAACTAACGGAAAGCTGTAGGATCATGAATGAGATCTTCGGGATTGCTCCGAAATGGGAAGGCTTTGTGAAAGAGCTGCGAAAAAGAACCAGAGATTCTTGGAGTGGCCCTGATTGGTCGATTCAAAGAGTACAGCTTCTAAGAAAATTTTAGGGCGCCTGACGGGGTTTTGACTTCTCCCTTGAACCCCTCAAACAGTTCAGGGCCCGTAAATTTCTTTTAACTGTCTGCTCTGCCAAACTCTGATCCTGCTTTCAACTAATCTCCTATAGGGACCCTCTAAATACAGATTTTCGACCCCGATAAGGTTTGGAGTTAGGGCCCTGGGTGGGCCTCCTTTTACAAGAGACCATAGGATCGTTAGTAAACATCTGTGCATTAACTTCTGATGAGGCGTCATTAAAACTGCAAGAAACTCTTTCTCTGACAGATTCTATTCTCGTCGTTGTCTAGCTGCATGAGAAAACGACGAAATAACGTAGGGTCAGAGGAAAGAGTTGTGGCGGCCTTTATGCACCCGCATAAAGTTAGAGAATAACAAAAGAGATGTGAAAATGCAAACTAACTTTTGAAGATCACTCTCCTCTTTTATCAACCACGTTGCTGTCAGCTTTTGTCGGTTTCGGGCAATCTGTTGAATGAAACCTGAACGTTTCTATTTTAAACCGGCTAATACATTTAATCTGCTACTCTATTTAACCTGTCTCTGCAAGGAAGATTCTTTGTATTAACTTTTGTTAATTTCGAGCTAACCTGTTGACGTCCTCTGATATCCCTATCAAAACCTTTATCTCGATGGATTCTTTCCTCAACTATGGGCTGATTTTCGGTTGTCCAAGACCGTAGTTAATGACGTCCTTGTAAAAATTTGAGACGCATTGTCATCAGTGTTGGTTTGCTTTCTGCATGCTTGCGAAGTTTTGACAGAAATACACAACTAAACACTATATATATTGTTACATATTTCTCATCCAGAAGCAAAATGAGGACTAACCCGAACTGCGCGTAGCATGACATCTTCTGGAAAGGCACTCCTGACAAAGGCTTTGACTTTGCGAAATTATTTCCTGAGCTCTACCAGCAGTTGGAGACCACCACCAGACTCACAGTTTATTATCATCATAAACTCATTGTTTGATCTAAGTATATTAGTTCTCAAAACTACTCAACCTCCCGGAATGACACATTCCTCGTAGCGTCTCCTTCGAGCTTCCCTTGAGTCTGCCTGAAGTCCCTTCTGTCTGTAACTCTTCACACAAAACATTGGGCATTTCAGCGAAAAATCACGGATGCTCTCTCTCTGAAATATAAATATATACTCACCACGCAAACAATTATATTTATAAAATTTCAGAAGATATTTTCCTGCTTCCATCAACTTGGAGCAAATTCAAACTAGAGTTAAACTCAAAACTTTCGAAACAAATGATGAATTTTCGAAATGTGCATACGCCCTAGGAGCTTGAACTCGAGAAAACAATTGCACCGTAAATGCGCGTATGACAATGGATACTGTGAGTTTGAAAAGCTGCAAACACAGCGAGGAAATTTCCGTTATTTCAATTTCTTTCCGGAAGAAACGCGCATGGCGTGCGCGACGCCCTCAGGCGCTCTATCGTGCGCGGCTTCAGTAGTTTCCTTATCTTTTTGGCTTTTTGTCTCATATAGGCTACCGAATTCCTAAGAAAAGTTTAGCTCCTGCAAGGAAAACATGTCGAATCGGGAAAGATTTTGAGCGAAATGTGAGGGGCTTGAGAGAGACTTCTAAAGTACCTCCGAGATGGCTCAGAGTATCACGGTGTTCCGCGCAATGATGCGAAATTTTGGGTCCCAGCGGTCATTATCCGTGTGCGCATTATTGCGCCCTTCCTCATGGTTTCTGATGCATTGAATTTCTTCTACTCATTGCTACTTTTTCTATTTCTGCATTTGCGTGATCCGCCTCTATGGGTACATCTCTGTGGAGCTTTTAATTGCGCATCTAAACCGGTTTCAGATCTAACTATTTTCTCGTAAAGAGCTGATGACTTTTTCTAGTCCCACTTCTTTCAAAATTTTGACATCTGTTTCGCGACATGAAATAGCGTCGCTCTATTTCGTGAAACGGTAGTTTTAATTTTAATCAGTTAATAATAAAAGTTATTATTCCAGTTCCTGACGCAGTTTGAAACCGGTTTCCTGGTAAATCGAGCCAAATTTAATTTGTTGATGCAGTTTAATGATTTTGCTATATGCATCATCTGAAACTTTATATTATCTAGTGATGGTCGGATTTGGGAAACAAAAATTTCCCGCCATACGAGGTTTTTCTTTTCTAAAAATTTGCTTATCCATTATATGTTTTTCTGAAAACTAGGTATTTCGAGGTATATAAAATGTCATTTCGCTCCTCGAATTTTCTCCTCATTTCAATATTTCTCGTATTTATAAATGCTTTCATTCAATGGGAGTCTGATTCACCTTCCTAATATTTTTGTTTTTATTTTGTAATCAGTAATTTAGGAGTTTTCCCCTTTTCGAAATCGCTCCTAAATGTATCGTAAGCGAATGTTTCTCTACATCATATTCTTCAAACTGAGATAATTTCGAAACTATTTCAGGATCTATTTATCCTGAAATTCGCAAATTCTAAAATTGAAAAACATTTCCTTGAGTATGCGATGATTGCGTCCGCGTGCTTAGCCCTAAGCATCATAATCCTTGCGTTAATTAGTCGCGACCTGTGCGTAAATGACACGTGATATAGCTTAAAAGGTATGTCGGAGGTCCTCACGGTGACACATTATATGGTCCCTTCGATTCGCCTGTGGAATCTCTAGGGGCCTCGGAGCTTCTCCCGTACCCCTTTCAAGGATTTTCTTTTGAACTGTGTGTGAGAACCGCTGTTTTGATGAGTTAGGGACGAATATGAATAAGTTTCGAATCGCAGTGAAAATTCTGATCCTGCCCCACATAGCCCCTTTTAACTAACCCCTGGCAGTGGGCCTCTAAAACCAGATTATTATCGGGGCCCTGAGGCGTCTCCAGCGGAACTCGGCCGCCAGCCGATTGGGCACAAGGCCCTTTGAACCGCGCGCCCTCGCTTTCGCTGAAGCTGAACAGAAATTTTCTTTTTGAAGAGTCTACGAATTTCCTTAAAATTTCGCTTTTTACTCTATCTGCCAAGACGTTTTGATCGAACATTCGAGCATCTTTTGTTATTTATAATATTTCGATGGGCTACGGAAGCTTTTAAATCACAATGAAGCTATTCAATCGAAATGCTTTAGCTGTGCTGATAGTGGAGAGTGGTCGACACCTTTAGAGATAAATCTCCTTTCGATGAAATAGAGTATTAACGTGTAAAACTGTAGGGTTACATTTGTGAAACAGGAAAGACGATGAGTCGTCAATAAGTTACAAACACAAAATGAGGTATTGTAAGCTAGGATTAACCATTCAAATACGCCATACGATTTTGAAGACCGTGTCTTTCTTTTGAAATCTCTGGTCTGTGCAAGATCTCACAACAAAGAAAAACAAAACGCTTTCTTTATGACTTCGGTATCGTTTCAATTCCAATTCATATAAAATGTCATTATTATTATCATCTGTTATTATGAATATTGCGCAGATAAAAAGGATAATATAGACGAGAGAATCTGGAAATGTGGTTCACAACGAAGAGATTTTTGGGTGGAAATTGTTTGCAAACGCATTGACAAGAATAAATAATTTTAGTGGGTTCTCTTCTGATTTTGCATGACGAGGCTTCTTCGGCTCGCCGCACTGAGCCTCGGGATCAAAATGGACTGTCTTCGAACGGAAGCAGCCCAGCAACTTCTCGCAATGGTCTTTTTCGCAGAGATCGCATCCATCTTAAAGTTTACTTTTTGAGAATATGTCCTTTTTATCATTATAAGAAAAACAAATTAAACTTCGAAAAAGTTTATATTTTTCTTCCTAATTTTGGAAAATCTTGAGCAGTGTATTGCAATAAATTATATGAGGGCGAAATTGCTTTTCGAATTTTTCTGAAATTAGATAGTTGATTTTTAAAAGGAAATTAAAATCCAAAAATCTTAAGTTTTTCATAATAAATCAAGAAAAAAAAGAACCGACCTTTTTCATGAGTTCGTAGATGATCTCGTCGCTGACCTTCGCTGTCGTGCTTTATACTGAGGATGGTTCGTCACGAAAACTGCGGATCCAATGCGCCAAAGTTGAAATCTCGCCGGTCGCCTCGTCTCCTGAAAAGGAAGTCGAGTCCAGGTCCAACCCACTCTCAGCCAACCGAAATGAAGTTCTGGCACTGAGAAATGGTACAGCGAGTGTCAACATCAACGTTTATTCTATCAAGATATTGTCTGATCAGGTTGACGCTTAGAACCCATTTTCTTTTCCTGAAATTGCTGCTTTAAGAAGGTTCAAAAAGTTCTGAATCTCGGCGCAATATCACGCATCTGCTTGATACAAGCTAACTTTATACTTAATATTTGAGAACTCAAAATTTCTCCAAATACTTATAGTTTGACAAAAGCCATGAGTTGAAATTTCATGAACGATACCTGCCTGGTGGCCTTGTGGCTGTGAAGAATCAACGCCTCTTTGCGGATCTCAGTCACGCCTCTATCATATAATCTGCCGTTTTCAAATACATTTCTTCGATAATTTTTAGCCTTATGAACTTTTGGCAGCAATGGATGAATAAAAAGTTTTCGATTGCCAATAATTCAACTAGAGTGATAAATAAGCAGTGAAAACCAAGTTGACTGAAACCGATCTCTAATTTCAGCAGTGCGTGTACATTGCTCCCATTTTATAAGCCACTTACTTTCTGAAAAATCCAATAACTACCGTAAATAAACAGAAAAAACGATGAAAACATTAAAATGGCTTTAACAAAAAACACTTTTTATCGCCTTCTTTCGAGGAAGATCATGAAATTTACCGTTTCCTTTCTGTTTATATCGTTCTTATGCTTTTTCAACGATTTAAAGAAATAAACAATTTAAAAAACGATCAAAATTAGAATTAAACCAAAAAATTAGCGTATTAAGGTTGGCAATTCATAAGATGCAAATACCGCACAATCGAAACAGCGGAGTGTCGTTCCATGAAATTTCAACTTGTGACACATCGACTATATAAGCATTCATTATCTAATAGGTGAAATTCAGGCCTTTTTTTCTTTCAAACACTTTTCGAGAAATAAACAAATCATTTAATCCCTTTATCGATGAAAACCTTGGCTTCTAAATTAATATCTGAATATTTCATCAAAAGGAGAAGAACGTTTAAAAGCAACAAAAAAGATGGTTAGTCAGGTGAAACTTATGGTTTAACATAATATTTCATGAGTAAATTATGAGGATCCGATGAAAAAAAATTCAGCCTCCCACGAGAGACCTGTAAGCTGGCCTATTCAATTTAGTCTCCGAAAAGATTCTCAGCTGGGTCTCAAAAGGAATGCTTATTTTATACTGAAAATTCTCATGGAAACTCTAGTCTCCGACGGAGTAAATCGACTGTTCTTGAGCTTCCTCAGTGTCTTCATATCAGTCCGAAAAGTCGACTTTAAATCCTTTTTCTTCTTTGATTATCTGAACAAAAAGCTCGAACGTTCCGCAAAAATCAAAGAACTGACTGCCTATGACTTCCTGCCACCGTCATTTCTTCATATCTGAGCCTTGTGGACTACATTTGCGGTCCCTCTCAAGCCTCCGGGGCCGGAATTGCACGTTGCGACCCTTTCTTCAAAAAAAAAAAAAAAGAACTCTTCTATCCCCGCCACCGAGAGACAATCTCACTGAATAAGAACTTCTTGAGAAAGAAACTTATGTCCCTTCTGAGTCTGCTTCCATGTTTCTGTCACTGGAGATGGGCAACAACAAGCTCGAAAGCGGAACGAAATAACTACCTGTGATTGGAGAATTTTTCTCAAATAATGAATGAATAGTCACCTGGTTGGCAGAACGACAAACAGCAATAAGTGCATTTTCCGAAATCAGTCAGTTGGACCTGCAAAACTCTGGGTTGAGAAAGCTCTTTATTTTCATTTCATTAATTCTCTCAATCAGATATTCTCTGAACACGCAGTTCTGTAATTCCAAAACAACGGGTACAATAAAGATTTTAAAACTTAACCTGATTTTATCATAATCAGAAATGCGGACGCAACCTTTAAGCCAACTTCTTCCTACTTAGCTAGGTTAGGTAGGCAAGGAGCGCCTACGTATCTAAGAAAGGGATTAATTTTCCTAGACATGATGTATATCAATCGATTAGACTGTAAATTTCAGGTGCAATTTCAACTTTATTGTACAATTTGAGTTGCAATTTCAACAATTTCGTGTTTTTCTAGTAATTTTTCCATCCACCGAGCTTGAGCCCGAGATCCATCTTTCTAGCCCTCAAAACATATCTTCGGAATATTTTGAAAATACAGAGACAGTGCATTCAAAGTCTGTATTGCCAAAGAATAATCATAAAATCAGAAGATACAAGCTCAGAAAGGCAATTTGAAATGCAACCGAAATTTGAAGACTCTCGTCGTAGGAACCTCAGGTCAACTTCGCTTCTAAACGCAGAGAAGCCTCGCGAAGAAGTATCTCGTTTCATAATGACCCTCCGGAATGCGACATGATGAAAGCTTGAACCATACTTCTTTTATTTCTCACGATAACTCGGACCGCGGTAATGAAAACCGGATGCTCTGACTTTTTTGAGCAGGATCACTCAAAAGGCACCCGGTAGTGGTCACTAGGAATTCCACGACACGTCCGATTCGCGTGTGGTCCGCGTCTAAGAAGAAATAGACAAAAGAAGAAAAGAAGACCTCCGTCGGCCGAACTCGACGCGCCATCCGATTTCGCAATCTGGAGGCGGAGAGGCTTTGAATCGCATGTTCATCCAGCTGACGATTGATCGTCCTCGAAATGCCTGCCAGCCTCTTCCTCATCATCCTGTTCCCCATTCGCCTGCGGAACACCTGGATCTTGAGCCTTTATAGGCTGATGCTAGAGGGTCTCTATTTGGAAAAATTTCTTTCGAAAACTTTCAAAAACGGAAAATGACTTGATGAGGATCACGGATGAACATGCGCGTGGGCGATGTGGTTTTCATGAGTCGGCCTGTCGATTCCGCCGTCCAGCATCTGCTTATAGAGGCCTTCATCGTACTGCAGCGGGATGTCGTTGTAACCCACGGAGCAGGGATAAATATAGCAGTCCGTACTGTCGTACCTCTACAAATAAATGATCTCTTCAGTAATCTTTTTAGACTTGTAACGTTTGAGTAAGGGTTTCGAAGGCCAGCTCTTTTCAAGGCTTATTTTCCAAAGTTCCTGTTGTTTTAATAAAAACCTTGAAATTTTCTTAAGGTCTGAAAAACCGTAATCAGCCAAACTTCCTCTATTTCAAGTAACAATGGATGAAGTCAAAACTATGGCTTTATGAGGGACTTGATGGTTTTATCGAAAACAGGAAGTTAAAGTAAATTAATTACCTACTGTTGCATCAAAAACTCTCATATTTTCAGTAAAATTATCTATCACATAGTAAAATAACTCTTCCGTAAAAGTTCCGCGTAAAAATTCTCTACTACCAAAAATTAAGACATGTTTCTTTTTAATACTTGGTTAGATGGGTTTCATCAAATCAATCGAAAAATGACAAAAAGCTCTTTCGACTAAATATCAAATTTTAAAACGACAGAAGAACAAACTGAACGCGTTTGAGATTGTCCATTTGAGTTTTAAGCGAACCAGTCCCGTTCTTCTGGAGTTCGGTCGTCGACACTCTACAGCCCGAAATTAGAAGAAACCTCTTCACTCACGGTCCTTACTGCACTGATGATGTCCATCGCGAGTCAACATCCGATAATTTCGACGGAAAATCGGCGTCGCGGCAGAAGAGCCAGCAGGATCGGAGTGATTGAGTGAGCTGGTCGTAGAGCCATCGAGCCTCGTTCACACTTCGACAGCTTGGAAGGTCACCTGCCAAAAATCCGAGTTACAAATTTATATCAATAAAATCCCTGAGTAGCAAGTTTTCCTAATAGTCCTGAGTAGCAAATTCAGCATCAAGAGAACATCAGAAAATCTTCTATTGGAGTTGTTTTCAAACCCTTCCAAAGTGCGCTCTAGCAAACTAACAAGAGAGATTATTTTAGTGTCAACTTTGTGAACTTGCTTTGAGATAATCTGGTCCGAACTATTTGAAAGTTTGGCATTAAGTCTCGTCATAGTTGCTACCTCAACGTACTTTAATTTTTAGGAATACGATTCTCAAAAGTTCCGTGTATTGGTCGCAAGCTTGACTCTGTGCTAAACGGAAAGTTAGAAATTTCGTAAACCCAAACTTCTTCCGAAGTTTCTGGGCAAATTTATAGAAAACTCACTTTGAACGATGGATAGTCTGAAACTGGCATTACTATTAGGGTTGTTCTTTCACAAATAAGCACGCTGCATTTTGTAGTTCATTTAACTGTTAATATTAAAAAGCAGACGATTCATTTCATGCTTTTCTAATGAAAAACTTTCTCCTTTTCAAATATTTCAGCTCTAAATCGAAAACAAACCGTGTATTTATTACTTCAAAATTTTTATTGGAAAAGACGCCTGCAAACAGTGACAGCATCCCATGCCGAAACCTCTATGGGTCCATGTAAATGTGATCCGGTTTGGCGACTGTCTTGTGAGTCCCTGCAGCTCTTTCCGTACACTGATAAAATCTTCACGAAAACTTGACTGACTCGGATATAGTTATCAGAGAGAAAACACTTTCGAGAGAAAAGTGACAATTTATTTTTATCCAATTTTCAGTGAACACAAATCTCTAATGGAAAAATACGCAATTAAAATCAAAACTTTTGAATTCAGCTGAGAATCAGAGAATTGAAGTCACTTACAACATAAGGGTTTGGCGTGTTGGTATCTTTAAAAATTGGTACATTGATTGCGACCTTGCTCCCTCGACGGCCTCGGATGTTTTTCGTCAAGTTTTTGAATCTTAAACTCGAAATTAGGTTTTTTTTTTGTGAATTAATTCACCTTGGGTGACCTAAAAAGACAGCCTGCTCTGGCCAGAAAATGCTTCCAGCCGACTCGTTGCTCTCCGGATTTGGTTTGAAAGACGGCGATGTGAAGTCCGATGCTCCTAATGATGGGAAGGAAATCGACAAAATCGACTCTCTGCAATTTGTAAACACTTAAAGACGCCTTTTGTTGTCCAGAAACCAATATATAATAACGGCACCAAATTGTCCTCTTTTCTTTCTTTTCAAAACTCAAAACTCACCGGTACAGTGAATTTTAAATATAAAAGGTTGCAGAATAATATTCAATGCGTTCGTCATTAAAGAAATTTTCCAAAAATTTCAATGCCAACAATTAGAATTTTTCTACAAGCATTCCATTTGTTCGTCTTTTGAAGAAAGATTAACTGAGGAAGTTGAATCAAACACAATATTTTACTTTAAAAACTTGGTCTTGAGATTCTTCTCGGTAACCTTCTTCAGTAGCCGCTGCACTTCTTTCTACGCATCTTCATGTTCGCTTCGACGACGTTGAAGCAAGCGATGAGGCCTGAAATGTGAAAAACTACATCGCGCATGAAGGAACAATCAAACCGCCGTAAGAGCCGGGAGTGCCTCAATCATGTAGGAAATCCCGAACTCGGGACGCCAAAGACACCTGTTGGTTGTCTTGACAAGCGCGTTCACCTCTTCTTCAGCCGAAAGCCGACTCAGAGCTCTTCCGCGCGACAAGAAACACGTACCTTGAAAGGAAGGTCATTTTCACTTCCCAGTCGAAAATCTTCGTGAATCGCAACTCCTTGATAGTACCAAAGTCTCAACCTATCATTTCTAATTTTGGAGAAAGGAAGCTTCCAAATTGAAAACAAAGCTATTAAAACTCAAAACGAAATAACCTATTATCCTCTTGAGCCCTCTCGGAGATATTTTTGCAAAATGAGACTTCCTAAAACCGTGATCAGGGTTTATAAAGAATAGCCAGTTTGCAGAAAAACTCAAAAGTTATACCTTTTTGTTCTCATCATCAAACTGAATCGTGTATTCCACTTGTCTCCCCATTTCAACTGATCTCCTGTCGAGACTTCAGTCGGTGGTAAAGATTAATGAACTGAGCGATTCCATGTTTGAAAGGCAAAAAGCCATCGATCCATCCGAATCTCTCTCAAACCTTTGATGTATTCGATGTACTGGTACGTCTCTTCCCCAACCTCAAGGACTTCCTTGGTGAGAAGGCCTGCATCTGAAATTCAAAACTTTACTGGAAGTTAGGATGAATGAACTATAGGAGTCAGACGTCACAGTTTTTATTTACTTTTATCTCGTAACAGTTCAGAGTCATCTCACAAAAAGGTTGGAGAAGCGTGTTCAGCACAAAACGTGAATTTTCGGGTCCCATTAATATGAGAATTAAAAACTTGCGATAGATAGAAAATTATAGAAAAATTGAAATACTTCGAAATTCACTTTTGAATAAAAGTATGGTTTGAAAAGAAAACTCATTTGAAAATGGAGATTGACTTAAAACATAACAAATCTCCGCTTATTAAGATAAATGTCCATTACCAGATGAGCAGTTCGAGTGTCATGGAAGACCAGCGTTCAACGGCGATCTGATCATATCGTTAGAGACGCCCAACGGCCACCTCTCCTGCAGAATTTTCCCTGACGTTTTCTCGATAAATCTTCGTTTCAATCTTCCTATATAGTAGGTAAAAGTTATTCATGATTACACAACGAAATAGGAAAGTACTCTTAACAGATGCTTTCATAAACCGAAAAATAGGAGAGGAAAAGTCGAAGGATCTCGTCGGAAAGGTGGCTCGTCGAAAGTTCCCTAGCGACACTGAAAAATCGGAAAGCTGCCTTTTGAAATTTCGTCGCTATACTATCGTACCTCAAGGCCGGAAAAATTTGGTTAACAAACGAAAGTTATTACTTTCCAATAAAAGCTTTTCAGCAAACTTCAAAAAGAATGAGGATGTATATTTTCAAACTTGACCAATATTAAGCATCAAACGCTTTGGAATAGATGAGAAAACGAGGAAACACAAAAGGCTGAAATTATGCCTAAGTTCTCACTCTGACCACAGCCTTTCAGCGTCCAGTGAAAACAACGCACAAGGTGGCAATTCATGTCAAAGCTTATCCTGTCGCGTTGGGAAACCTTTTGTCAGCAAAAATGTCGCCACCATAAGCCAAAAGCTGCATGGCAAGGACGGAAGCAAGAGAGAGAGACCAGTCGTTTTTCAGTTAATGTCTCATTTGTTTCGAGCCTCAACTTGATTACTGATCGCCAAGTCTCTGCGTTTAGTTTATTTGAAGAAGAAAACCAGCCCATGTAAGAATCACTGCAACAATAAGATCCAAAAATTTGCACTTTGATCTAGCGAGACTGCTAGTTATTAATGATTTAGACTCCGCCAGACCAGCTGAGCGCAGAAAGAGTCTGGCTATAACTCCTGAAAGGGAAGACTAGAAAAGGCAAATGACACAGAAGAGAAAGCTCATCTGTGCGTTTGGTTTCTTTCAGCCACCTGGTTCCTTGCAGGCTGAGAACACTTGCAATAATTGCTCTGGTCGTCCCAACCAACGCCGAAGTCTGCAAAGCTTTACTCTCGATGGGTTTTATAACCTGCACCAGTACAACGCAAAGAAACGAAGTGTGATGTAATCGGACAACCAATCTGTGTCAAACTTCAAGTGAAAAGGCAGTTACAAAATACGCAAGATCGAGAAAACTTGTTCCAAGTATCACTACTGACTAGGAATGACCATTGCAGATAAATCTTTCTATGACAGGTCAGTGATCTTTTAGATGAAAATAGTCTCTGTCGTAACAAAAGTGCTCTGAGATCGACATCTGACTCCAAATTAATTCTATTGAATGGAAAATTTATGGACTATATTGGCTGTATCCATGTCTGTGTAAATTTCTAAAGTTTTAAAATAAAGCATTCTCAATCTTACTTAGACAAGACTTTTTATATTCAAAATTTAACTCCAGGAGTAAAGAATCCTTGTTCTCACTATTCAATCTTTGGTCAAAGAAGTATTAGTTACTTTTAAAAGTTAGAGAAACAGCCTTTGTCCCTTTTAAAGATCCACCTCTCTCGTCTTTTGATTCCCAGACGCAGCCTGTGAAAAAGCAACCTTTGTACTTTACCTCTATTACGACCTTTAATCTGGGCAGTAGCAAATGACAACATTTGATATATGAAAAGATTCTTTCTTACCTGAGAAAAGGTATCAGCTTGACGCTCATAAACTAATCAAACCCCAAGAAAAAGAAGCACACCCAGACACATTCAGACACAATTGCTGTGAATGAATTGATCGTCGATAGCCGGTACGCACAACAAGATAAAGCTTGAGAATAACAAACGCCCAGGGCAAATCAACACGAGGCAAGTCTCAGAAGCATGAATAAAAGAACCAGAGGAAAACGCTGGCCACTCTACAACGCGTATGTCACGTCGGCTGAAAGTTTCTGATGCAGTTTCTTTCGCGTCTGGCGTCGTCGGGCAGCAGCCGTTGGGTCTGTGTATGAATTCCGTCACCCGAAGATTCCATGGAGGATAATTTCCGCAAAAGCGATGAACACTGCCGACTTGCAAAATTAGCAGGCCTCCTCGATACTTTACAAAATTTCTCATGGAATTGTTTCTTTCTGCACTTTATCTTTATTTTAATCTCTATTCTGGTGTAGTATTCTTTGATAAGAACTTTGCTGATGAGAAAATTTTAAATGAAATATCAGAAGGCTATAGCGCCTGATGTTCTTAGCTATAGAAAGAAAACAGTTTTGACAAAATGATCCAAACGACGATTGTAAAACCGATGTGAATGAGAGAGACATTTTTAATAAACGTACATCTAAATTTTGCAAAATCATTATCACTGCTCAAAAACGTCTGTAGCTCTTTCTGTCAAACCACCTTTTCAGAAGAAAGAAAAACTTACTCTGATTAAAAAGTCCGGGTCTCACTAATAGGATGATCCAGTGCTACTCACTTATCGTTCTCGGTTTGGTTACTCTCGACGATTTGACTCACATACAGCTTAGAAATTGTGAAGCCCATCTAGGCATATCAAAACGATCCAAACTCCTTTCCTTGCCTAGGCCAACTTTTTATGTGTTAGAACACAAAACTCAAGAAAATGCGGTGTAAACAAGTATCTGCTGGGTAAGCTCTTCATCTCTCTCTCATTGGTGAGCCTCCTCACCAGCCTCTTGATGATTATTTTGAAGAGAATTCCCTGACTCGCCAGATTTGCAGACATCGGACTAGAGCTCAGTTTCTCCTGAGTCTGAGGACAAACTTTGAAACTAGCCGCGCCACTCGCACTGGAAACTCGAAGACAGACTTCCACGGTTCTTCCCAAAATCAATCGAATTCTGATGATTGATTTTAAACGAGTTTCTTTCGAAGAACTAGCATTAAAACCGACAAAAAGTCCATAACTTGGAACACTTTTGAACGTCGCCCCAATGATCGTACTAAGGAAAAGGTGTTTGGACCTCGGATCTGCTGTATACTTCAATCAACTTTCTAATTCCTTCCTGAATGAATCAATAATCTGAGACAAAGCTCAGCGATACTAAGAAGTCCAGCGCATCTTCTCCACAACTCTTCTAGTGCAGAGAATCGCCAAATTAGATGTGGTGTTCGAGGCGAGACAACTTTCCTCGAAAAATTCTCGAGTCATGTGTTATATAACTGAATGCGTGTACCATATTACGTGGCGTTTCAACGCGTGGAAGCCCACATTGAGAAGGTCAACTGAGGAAAATTGCAGGCGAGCATCACTAGCCAGTACAGCTCTCACTTTCCGCAGCGCCACAGCCAGCCAATATCAAGCATCCTACGGCCTCAGAGGAAAACCTCTTTAATATATTGCGTCTTCTTCAAATCAGACTTGAAAAATAACTCGAGCTCTGGAGCGTATAGTCGTCATCTGTAGTGGAAGAAACATCTATCATATTGTTCTACTCTTCGAGTGGAATTCAGTATAAGCTCATTCCTGAGTTTCAGCCTCTGTCACGATTTTGGTTCTTCCTCTGAGCTACATGAACCGTTCTGCCATACGATGCATTCGGCATCTCGTGGACATGCGCCTTTTATAACGAAACAGTCTTTGGCCAAACTATGCAAAAAGGAAGCAGGCCACACGCAAAGAGGCGGGTTGCGCGCATTGAAGTTGACGCTTCATGGAAAAGACTGCGTTCGAAGTAAACTAAAATCGTGAAAAGCTGGCGTAATGAGCTTGTAAGACGAGATCTCTATCTTTGGAAAGTAGCGACACTTCATGGAGTTATAAATAGGTTTCTATTGATGGTCCATCAGGCCGTGAAGGTTTTGATCATTATACTTTCTTAGCCATTATCTTTTATTCAGGGAAAAATCTGGAACGAACACCTGACTCAATCTAAATTCAATATCAGAAAAATTCAGAGAGGTCAAATTTTCAATTATGCAATTCAGGCGAGGATTTTACTCGAAAGAATGTAAGTGAACGGTACACCTCGATATATATTTTATTTCTACACTATCGGAATATGTTACCAGACGAAACAGGATCAGAGGGTTAAAAAGCATCACGGTTTGAAATCGATACACAGAAAAAGTCCGATCGCCACGTGTCTTCGACTCCTAACTCATGGGGAAAGTAAGCGGATAGATATCTCCACGACGAAATTATTTGGTAGGATAAATCCTGCAAGAAAAAATCATTTTAACAGCGAAAGCTTGAGACATTACCAAAAAATCTTTCAAAAAAAGAGCAAAATGAAATATAAAGAGGTTAAAACGTCCGAATAAATTTTAAAATACAAATTAAAAAGTTGAATGACTCGAGTAATACAAATTACAGTGTCGCATCGCGGATCCACCTTTGTGACCAACAGTGATACCAGTTCGTGTAGAACAAGCCAGACGCAGTTACTACTGAGGACTGCTACTAACGAGACCAACCGACAGCGGGCTGCTTTCTCGAAAACCTAGCTGACTTTTGAAGTGAATAGGTGCCACTCTAAAGCTAGTAGAAAATGCAGACGAAAATTGTTCTTTCCAGTATTTACAGGAAAATAACGTTGCGCTGAAAAAGTCCATTTTATCTAGGCATCTAAAGAGTTAAATATTACCACAAAATAATGTTCGCTTGTGGTATATAGACACCTGGGATATCTCTCAAGAACCCTACAGGAACAGACAAACAAACAAACACAAAAGCAAGAATGGCTGAGATACTAGAAGCGTGGACTTCTCGGTGCGAGTCCCACACAACCTCAGTGCTAGATGGAGTCTGGACGGGATTCTATTCTGAACAGAAAATGATTATGAAGGAACAGAAAAACGCATTGATCTGAGAGAAAGAAACTGGAAGGAATAATTTATAACTGGTTGCGAGGCTTCGAAGCGCTATCATGTTGCACAATAGTGGTCTCTTTGATTCTGAAAAGGATCTAATGAAGAAATTAATCCCGAAAAGCTGAATCACCCCAAATCGTCATTCTCTTTGGCAGCAAATCCTCGCTAAGTCGATCTCGCTGTTTGACAACCGTCGCTGTCGCCAACGGTCTGAAATGCCATTATTTTTTTTCAATTCGTTCTCAGCCTGACGGAAAGAAAGAGCAAAGGACGAGGAAGTCAATTTAGATGGAAGCAAAAATCAAAATGAAAACTGACGAATCCTCGAGTTCGATTGTTGACGCCGCGTTGTTATCAGACTTGTTCACTATCAGTGGCCAGCTCCATTTGATCGAATTTTGTCGTCATCAGAAATGGCGGCCTGCTCCAGAAGCGCATCTGTCGCTTCTTCTTCGCCAATCAGGAACATTTCGAAGACCTTGATGACGGACGATAATGGAGCGGCATGATGGCAAATCAAATCCAATAATACGCAGTTTCCATGGAAAGCTACCTGGAATTCGGCACGTGCGGATCTGGTTGACACATTCGAGTTTGCTGAACGAAAACATCGTTCCCTTGAGCAGCTTGCCGACGCAGAACAAAATACCGGATGAATCCTCCCCTAAGGTCAATTAAATTTTATTGATCGGATGGAACCAAAAACCTTGTTCCTCAGCGCAAATGTCGCCAGGATCCGTGATCTTCGATTGTTGGAGGGCTAGGTCGAGTGACTCGAGCGAAATCAACTTTGAACCAACCTATAAAATCCTTTTTAAAAGGCCGATAGTTCCGAGTATAAAAGGAGGTTTCCCACTCTTTCGAAATAAAACTCTTCCTCAATCTTGAAGATTTATTTTCTCAACCACGTTTAACAAAAGTATCAAACCCAAGCAGAATGAAAACTGAAGGAAATCAAAGAATGATCAAAATTCTGAAACCTTCCTTTGTTATAGAAGTTTAAAAAATAAGTCCTAGATTCGCCTTTAGTAATCATAGTGGACAACTTTAGAAATGTAACGACGCGCCTTTCAACATCGCTGAAACATTCTTCATGACCTCCTCTAAAGCATCAAGAGTTAGCCACGTAACTGAACGCATAACA